ATATATAGTATAACTATAACTATAATTATATTATTTTTATATAACTATATATATAGAAGAAGGCGAGTGCATATACGCGCTAGAGTATCTCACAAATACACCTATTTGCACGATTTACACAGCCATCGGTCCTCTCTTAACGAGCGCAGACGTACGGTCTATATTCTAACGTGAACGCGCCAGGAGTTTTTAACTTCCTTAGTAATATTTAATATTCGTGTCATTGAGAAGCATCACCAGCAGGTATGATCGTGGAGCTGTTTATGTCCGCAGAAGCTAGATGGAGACATGCTGACGCTTAGCCTCGCAAACTGGATGGAACTTCCTTCATTAAACTTTCGAGACTGGGCCAGCACCTACAAAATGTGAGAATGCTCGATTACTATTAGACTATAGCGATAGATATTAGTTAGTTTTTTAGTTTCAAACGAACATATAAGCGTGTGTGTACAAGACAGATTTTTCTCAAGTGTAAGATCATGTATGTACCTATGTGTGTGTGCGCGCGATTGCATGCGTGCGTGCGTTCGTGCGTGTGTGCGTACGTGTGTGCGTTTCATACGAGAGTCTACGGTTGATTGTTGTTGGGTAGTCTCAGATGATTATCATTTTGCGTGATATCTTTTTCACGTTTCGTATATAAGATGAGTAGAACGTGCTTTCCGTTACAAGCGAGTTGATAGGCACTGCGGCATTGACGTATTGCGTACATTCTACCATAAGATAAAGAGCACATAAACTGTTATAATATATATGTATATATATATATATATATATATATATAAAGTTATACGGACACGGTAGAAATTTTAACTCTGTTTATTGCATACAGAACTGTTTCGTGTGGAGCGAAAGCTCCACACTCTTCAGTGCCTAATACAGAGTCTATAACTCTGCATTAGGCACTGAAGAGTGTGTGGAGCTTTCGCTCCACATGAAACAGTTCTGTATGCAATAAAGAAAGTCAAAATTTCTACCGTGTCCGTATAACTTTATCTATATTTGCTCTACTCATGGTAGTATTGAGCACTCTCGACACACGAGTTCATAAACAACCATTGGAATCTATATATATATATATATATATATATACTTTATATTTTATACTTTTATACGCTATACTTTTACATTTTGATACTAAAACTGCATGATATGTCATAATTTACATGGTCTTGGCTACACCGATTGAACCCCACCATCGTTCTCTTAGCAGCGATGGGATACCGCTAACAGCGAGTCACGCTACATGCCGCGGCAGCCGAGTGTCGGTGCGTGACGTCAGGGACTACTACCAGCACTTCGTCAAGAGTCGCCACCTGGAGACGTACTTCCGCAACGACTGCACCGTCACATCCGTCGCGCGTCTCCACAACCGCCGCGACGTCGTCTGCAATCGTGAGAACGGAGAACCGGAAACCGGCGGTGACCTAGCATCCGGCGACCGAATCTGGGAGGTCAGCGGGCATGCGCAGTGCGGGCTGAGCGAGAGCGGTGCGGTGCGCTACGAGCGTTTCTGCTACCGCGCTCGAGACGTTGTACTTGCGACTGGCGGCGACGGTTTACCGAACCGACTACGCGCTCCGGGCGAGCACCTGCCGTTCGTTCTTCACTCGATGCGTGACGCTGAGAGACTGCTGTCGTCGGGAAAACTCACTCACGTTTCCGATCCGGTGATGATCGTCGGAGCAGGGCTGTGTGCTGCCGACGCCGTCATCGCCGCAGCTAAACATGGCGTCCCCGTCGTGCACGCGTTCCGACGGGCCGCCACCGATCCCCAGCTCATCGTCAACCGACTCCCTGCGAAGGTCTACGGCGAGTATCATCGCGTGCTGGTGATGATGAAGGGTGGGGGAGACTCCGTGTGCGGGTATGTTCCGCTAGCGCAGCATAGTGTGCACAGCATCAGACCCGACGCTCGCGTCGTGCTGCGTTCGACGAGGAGTGGTTCGTATAACACCGTGAAGGTGTCACACGTGATCGTACTGATAGGTTCGCGGCCCAACCTGCGCTGCATGCAGGGCGAGTGCCGCAACCTCGGCGTTAAACCTGACGAGCCGATCTGCCCGAAGCGAAACCCGATCGACGTTGACATGGTGACGCACGAGAGCGTGCACGAGCCGGGGTTGTACGCGATGGGATCGCTTATTGGCGACAATTTCGTGCGTTTTATCACGGGTGGTGCCTTAGCCATCACTGCCCATATCGCGAGGAAGCTTCTAGCCAACTAATGAGAACCATCCTCTCGTCTTTTCCTGCTATGTACTGTGCTCCTTCCTTTCCCTCTCTCTATCTCTCACTCTCTCTCTCTCTCACGTAAATACTCACTCGCGTTCTGTGTGTCATTTCATGTTCTCGCCCCTTCACTACTAATTCCATACTCTTAACTCGGACTAAAAACACGTGATGCCTTACTTGTTATAAATATAGTTCATAGTTTGTTTTTTCATAGTTAGATGCTGAAATAGCTATCATGTGACGTCTGTCATCTAATATTTGATTATATTTTTTTTAGTATATTTGACATATTTTTTTTATAGATTTTAAAGAAACAATGTGGATGCGTTTGTTAAGCCCGGCGCACACGTGAGTAATTTTACTCAAGTAAAATGATGCATGAGTCAAAATACTCGTGCAAAATATTTTCAGCGTCCGCCGCACACGTGAGTAAAATTACTCAAGGTATAAGTGGTAATGTAGATCACGTGACTGTGCGCAGCCAATACTGGGCGCAGTCGTCTTTAAAATGATTTAAACGCATGCGCTGTGAGTAGGCCTACCAGTGTTGAATAAATGTACGCAGCTAGCGCGCACACGTTGAGTATTTTGACGCATGAGTCAAAAATTATCAAACATGTTTGATATTGAGTTTCTTAATGCATGCGTCAAAAAACTCAACGAAAATCCGGCGCACACGTGAGTATTTTGACGTAGGCCTATGCATCATTTTACTTGAGTAAAATTACTTACGTGTGCGCCAGGCTTTAATGACGTTTGCATTATGCGCGTAGTTCACGTCTATAGACTAATGCATCACTAATGCATTTATCTGCATAAATAAATGTTCACGTATGAAATTAGATTCTGTTATATTAATTAAGGCTTGTGTTAAAAAAATGTTGAATTAAAATTCATACACGTGAGCCACATATATATATATTGCTTGATTGATTGATCGATTGATTGATTGATTGATTGATTGATTAATTGTCTGGTTGTTAGATTAGCACACCAGTTTTCGGAAGTAGGAGTATGAAATAGCTTGTTAATTAAGTGTTATGTCAGAAATTAATCATTAAAACTCATAAATACCATACTCATCATTTTCTCTGCTATTGATATACTCGCGTGAAATGATACACATATACATCAATTACAATAAAATTGATATCTCTCTGAAAAAATAACATGCCTAGCCTAAGATCAGACGTATTATTACTAGTATTATAATAGTTGTTCGTCGACGTATCGGTTTTCATCCATATGACAGTTTTCCAACGTTTAGTGTCACGGCTTAACTCGATCCTACCCATATAGAAATATGTAGAGACGCTATATAGAGTCTATAACTAGTATATTATATCTATGGTCCTACCACGGAGATCACCACGTGTGATCTAACAGACACGTGAACGCCGTGGTGAATGTGTGAGACTGGGCGTATAGCTGTGTGTGCATCGTGACATAGCTGTGTGCATGGAGCGCATTCTCAATGTTTGCCGCCGGAAATAATAGTTACTTGACATGCGCCACTAGTTTGAACGTATGCGAACGGCCAAAGAAATCTATCTTGGCAGTCAACGGTGACCGACACACGAGCGCCATCTGCACGTACATTGATATCGGCATAGCGGGGAACCCGGGGCGTGATGCTGCGAGCAAAGTGAATAGCATAGACCGGGTTTTACAAAGCACACGGGCTGTCAGCCTGCCCGGCTCCGGTTTAAACGTATAAGAACAGCCGAAGAAAATTATCTTGGCAGTCAACGGCGACCGACGTCGCAGCGCCATTTGCCCATACATTAGCATGGCTGGGAATCGTGGCGTGATGCTGCGAGCAAAGTGAATATTATAGACCGAATTTTACCAAGCACACGTGCTGTCAGCCTGTCCGGCTTCGGTTTGAACGTATAAGAACGGCCGACGAAAATTCTCTTGGCAGTCAACGGCGACGGGCGTCGGGGCGCCATTTTCATGTACATTATTAGCATAGCTGGGAATCGTGGCGCGATGCTGCGAGCAAAGTAGAGCATGTAGATCAGATTTTACCATGCACACGTGCCGTCGGCCCGCCCGCGACTAGTTTAAACGTATGAGAACGGCCGAAGAAAATTCTCTTGGCAGGCAACGGTGACCGACGCACGAGCGCCATCTGTATGTACATTCATATCGGCATAGCGGGAAACCCAGGGCGCGATGCTGCGAGCAAAGTAGAGCATGTAGATCAGATTTTACCATGCACACGTGCCGTCGGCCCGCCCGCGACTAGTTTGAACGTATGAGAACGGCCGAAGAAAATTCTCTTGGCAGTCAACGGCGACCGACGCACGAGCGCCATCTGCACGTACATTAATCGTTTTATATCGGTGCAGAATGTGCAAAATGTCTATCACAATGTTTCACATCAATAATCATGTATCGTCTAATTTTCCAGATTTCGCCTATACTATCATCGGTTCACTCATGGTCAATATCCGCCAATAACGAAATATTATAACTGGGTGATATTAACTGGGTTGAATTGTTTCCTTTGTTAACGGCGCACGCTCATAGATGGCGCTATCGATCTATAATATTCATTGCCCACTCTGCTATAAGTTAGCGCACAATATGAATCAGAAATATAAACCCCGATGACGGATTTGTCATAAAGGGATGCTACACCTTACCGGTTGCAATTCCGAAATCATTAATTCTGGTCTAAACAGCTCTTAATCCAATTTAATTTAACCTAGTTGCACGTGTTACACGCACGCACGCACCCGCATTTCATTCAATTATTTCGACAAGTAGGTCTACTTCCGTAGATAAAATAGTACGATCGTTCAAGCCATCTCTATATCGTATAATAATAGAAAAATGTCAGGATATTTTATTTCTACAGTCGTTAACGATTTAACTAGCAACTATACACCCAACAAGTGGTTTGATTGTATTCTCAAATCTTTGCTGTACCGGTAGCCTGAGTACGTGTGTGTTTTGTCGGGATGAGAGCGTGTAGTGGCCTTAATCCCATCACATTGAACACGCGGCTGGCGTTGCTAAATTTCGCGGTTATTAAACCATCAAAGAGGAACTGACAACTGGAGAATCTTATGCCTGAAGCCCCAATTAACTGACACAGCTAATAGATCTTACTGTGTTGTGTGATGCGTTACCGAGTTTATATAAAGAGCATTGCGTATTGATAACGCATAGCAACGGATTTAATGCGGCCCCAGCACTAGCGGCGCTACGCAAGTAAGTCAAACATGATTATATCAGGAGTGTATAATAATATAATAGTGTATACGTGTGATAATAATCAGTAATAGTGTATAAGTGTATAATAATAGTAATAGTGTCATAGTGTAATAATCTAATAGTAATAGTGTATAGTGTAAATAATAGTAAATATGTATAAGTGTATAATAATAGTTCAATAGTGTATAGTGTATAATAATAAGTAATAGTGTATAGTGATAATAATAATAGTACATATTGTATTAGTGTATAATAATAGTATAATAGTGTATAGTGTATACTATAGTAAATATAAGTGTATAGTGTAATAATAGTAATCAGTGTATAGTGTATAATAAATAATAGTGATATAATATAGTCTATAGTGTTGATAATAAATACGTAATAAGTGTATAGTGTATAATAATAGTAATCAGTGTATATAGTGTATAATAATAGTAATAGTGTATCATGTTATAATAATAGTATAGTGCCTATAGTTATAATAATAGTAATAGTGTATAGTTTATAATAATATAAGGTAATAGTGTATAAGATGTAGTATATGTATATATGTAATCAGTGTATGGGTGTAGGCTGTATAATAAATGTGTATAATATCTATGTATTATCATCTGACTGATATAATTCGTGCAGTGCTCAAGGGCGGACGTACGCACCAGCGTGCCCGGGGGCTGCTAACACGTCG